TCAAATGTGAATCTCAAACTTTGAACAATTTAAGTCAAAGAAAACGTAATATTTTTGAACCATACAAATGTTATTGGCCTATGAAGCTATCAGCTATGACACCCCACTTCTGTTTTTCTTCCCAAAATTATTAATTATATGAGTTGAGACTTAAAATATTATTGTATTTATTTTATCTTTCTTTTGATGCTTCGCCACTCTTAGGAGGTATGGTAATTAATTAAAGAGCCCTAATTAAAGACTTAGGGTTAGATTGTTCAAAGAAAAATTTATTAATAATCATGAGTACGATCCAATGCATTAATATAATTTTATTTAAATTATTAGTATTTTTTATATTTTTGCTCTCTTCAATGCCTCAAAAGGGCTAATTTAATTATTAATTAACATCTAGGAACACATTAAAAAATTTCTCAAATTAATTATTCTTATATATATTTCATCAAAAGAAGGAGACATGTCTTATATATTTACACAAATTCTATTTTATTTATCGGGATTCTTAAAGGATTATTAAAAGGAGATCAATATTTCTTTTCTTTAAAAAAAAAAAAAAAAAATTGTAGTAAGCCCTCCGCATGTATTCTCGTGGTCAAATATATAAACATCAAGCACTTTTTAATTAATTAATTATTTATTTATTTTTTCTTAATATTAGGTTTTTCATTTTTGTACCTTTTATTTAATTTAATCATTACTCTTAACCACCGTATCTTGAATTGTGGAGTTAGCAATATTAAACTCTATTTTATTTATTTAACACTTATTTACAAATAATTATATTGAAATCAGCAACGAACAGTTAAAAAATTTATTCCTGTTTCAAATGCCCAAGTTTAAATTACAATTATTGTTTTTATTATTTTCAGTAATATTTTTGAAATATTATTGGTAGATAGAGTTTGGTGATTATTACGAGATATAATTTAAAAATTAACAAAAAAAACCTTTTAGGTTTGCTAATTTCCTAAACACCCCAATATAATTTTTTTTTTGTAAAATAATAAAAACACCCCCACCCACCCACAGTTGCTAGATTTCGGCCACCACCGTCAGAATCTGGCATTACGACGCATGATCGGTCAGATCTGGCCGATTTGGCTTTTTTCAACTGGATCTGGCATTTTCCGGCCAGATCTACGGTGGATTTGGTCGAAAAAGGCCAGATCAACACATTACTGGCCAATTCTAATTGGCAGTGTACCGTTGTGATAGATTCTGACCACCACTGACGGTGGTTGCCAGATTTGGCAACTATGGGTGGGTGGGGTTATTTTTGTTAATTTATAATTTTTTTGTTGGGGTGTTTTGTCAATTAACAAATGTAAGGGGTTTAATTTTTTTTTTAATTTAGGATATGATTTTGAAAATAAAAAAACAAACGGGTATTTGTATTTGGAATAAAGATAAAATAATGGTGAAATAATTAAACAAACGCATTTTTATTTCTATTTATTAATGATAGCGCAGGAAAGCTCAGATGGTGTGGATCAACTCTTAAAAAAAAGGGTCAACCATCTTGATCCATGAATGGCGCCAGCAATTTCCGCTACAACAACAGAAAAAAAAAGGTAGAATCTTTTATCCTTCATTATTTATTTGACAATTTTTTGTTCAAATCATTTTTTTTTTTTTAAGTTGGTGATAAATAAAATAATAAAAAGGGAAACTATAGTCAACTGCACAGTATTAGCACTTGTGTCCTTGTCACTACGTCTAAGAATAATAATAATATTAGGGCAGCGGCAGTCCATTTAGTATAAATAATTCTACAACTTTTTAATTAAACATTTAGCCAATTCCAATATTTAATCACAATTTTCTGTATTGGTTACACTAGCATTTAATCCTAATTTGCCCACTTATGTGTTTTTTTTTTTTAACCAAGTTTTAGTTCAAAATCTTAAATTATTATAACTTTTTGTTTATAAAATGAAAAAGTAAAAAACTTAATACTTTATCGAATCAAAACCATCTAAGTTAATTTATGAATCAATATTCTCGCTTTATATATATATATATTTTGTTACTTTTATCCCTTATGAGATGGTACGGGTAAGGTTCTCTTTTTTTCTTTTTCTTTTAAAAAAAAAAACTTATATATATATTGTTACTTTTATCCCTTATGAGATGGTATGGGTAAGGTTCTCTTTTTTCTTTTTCTTTTTAAAAAAAAAAAAAATTTATTAAAAAAAATAGTGTAAAGTATAAAGCAATCTCTTATGATTAATGTTACATGTACAAATATGACATGTATTATTATTTACATCATTTATTAAAGTTGATTTTTTTTTTTTTATGTGCTTGTCCATTTATTTTGAACCACCTCATTTTGTAAGCAAGAGTTTGCATATAAAAAAACTTATATATTTTAATATCTTGTAATTAATCTATAATTATTGAGATAAGCTGAACAGATTATGGAAGCTATCCCTTATATAATTTGTAATTTCTTCAAAATTACGAAAATTTGTTTATGTTATCTGCAGATATAATACAAAATTTTTATATGGAAAATAAGGACTAGAATTTATTAAACTATTTTTAGCGAGATAAAAGAGCCTCAGCTTTTTTATATATATATATATATATATATATATAGAATTCAATCGTGGTGTGACAACCTCGCTTCCAAGTGTCATAATTTGAGGAACTTTAATTAATTTATTAAATTCGCACTATCCTCCGACAAGCACTAAAGTCTCTTCAACTTTTGATGTTCAAAATGACACATTTATATCATCTTATTTCTTAAACCTTTGTCCATTTAGTAAAAAATAAATAAATAAATTCAAACTGATATTAGGCAACCAGAGAAGTCCCCTCATATTTTAGTTTTCATTTAATATAAAGTCAACCCGTTTCTTTTTGATATATCTAAGATAAATTTGTTAATGGTAGTACTTGGATTATAATTGGACCGAATTTGTAATTAAAAAAAAAGTAATTAGTTCATCCTAATCTCTCTCTTAATTAATTATAAAAATTGTAGAGGGGTTGTCGCTGTTTACATAAGAAACAAAAAATGAAAAAGGACAAAGGACAAAGGGTAAAAAATTGTATTAAGTAAAAGCCAGCTTTGATTCAACTAGGGTTGACTAATGAGTAATTTTAAAGATATTAAAATTAAACTAAAATCAACCTTTGGTCAACTCTTATTCCTCTCTCCCAATGAAATTTTAAGGTATAATCGCATAAAAACTTGCTTAAAACTTTGAATAAGAATATATTCCCATATTCCAAGACGAGAAGACTCTCTCACTTTAATTCCTTTTAAAGGAGTCTTCAATATTACACCCATTTTTATTTTATTTGACTTCCATTAATGGACTTTGCAACTTGTATTACCACTTGCAATATTATTTGGTGACAAACCGCATCTGCATATGTTCTTTTGGTCATAACCCACATCGATCCCCATTTTAAAAATCTGTGTTTAATTTTTTTGTTCTTTTCGTAATAGAACACACAGGAAGATTGAAAGCGAAATAAGGAGACCGCGACTTGGTCATTTTACCTAGCCGGCGGTGACACGTCATTTTGATTAGGCCTAAACAACCGACATACAAACTAAAATTATCAGCTCACTAAACAACAAGATCTCTATTTAAAACTTGATGTAGGGAAGGGATTTAAAACTTGATGACAAATTTGTTCATTTGTTTAGTAAATTGCGCAAAATTTGAGGTAATATAAAAAGTTTATCCTTTTTGTGTAGGCTATAGGGAAAATTAAACTAATAATTTAGCATAAATAAAAATGTTTAATTCTGCAATTTGGTTGTTTACCTTGACTTTTTTTTTTTTTTTTTTTTTTTTTTTTTTTTAAAGTTTGTTTTATGTGTGATTATCCTCCTTTTTGATCAACTTTATTAAAAGGGTCAACTTTTGTTATTTCAATTGTAAATAATTAAATTTGAATTTTGAATAATTACATGATTAATTTTTTAAATACACGCTTATTTTGAAAAGATTGCATATCAAGTGAATTGGCCTAAGAACATCTCCAATGATGATCTTTATTTTAAACAGCACCTTAATTGATTTTTAAATATAAAGAACAAATTTTTTATTTAAATCCAATAGACTCTTTAACTTTTAGGAGAGAGTATATGTTTTTTCAAGAAATAAATTTAATAGGAAAGATAAATCATAAATAAAATGTATAGAAGAAGCTTGCAATTTATTATTTAAAATTAGGATATAAAGTGAAATTGGACTCTCTAAATGTGAAGAGTAAAACTTACTATTTAAATTATATTTAAAGAATAAAGAGTATGTTGGACTCTTATTTCTATAGATAAACTCTTTATAATAAAGAGTTTTGATCATATAAAGAGTTATTTGGAGATACTCTAACGTGTTACATTGACCACATATGTTAATTATATTAAAAAAGAAATTAAATTCACTTAAAGATCATAAAAATCAATTATTTATTATTATATTTGTCCTTAATATAACATAAATGGATATTTAAATTCGATAAAAAAAATGAATGGTTTTTTAAGATTTACTCAACTAATGCCTGAACTATGGAGCAAAATCTTAATTTTGATCTATTTACAAAGACCAATGAGCATATTCCAAAATGCTTTCATATTATATTTAACTAGGTTCAGAATTTGGATTCGTTTGTTAATTAATTAATTAATGTATGTATGTATGTATGTATCCTCTAGTTATTAGTGAAATCCACAAGTGTAAGAATTTCCCTCCAATTTGTAGTAGATGATTACAGAAGGAAACAAGGTTTATTGAGTGGATTTGACGCTTCTCCAGAGTGTTTGAAAGATATTATGGAATGTGAAACTTAAATTTTACTCGAAAGCTTTGCTAAGTGTCTCTTAGTCAAATAACAAATCAAGACATTTTAGAGTATCACAGAGTAATCTTCTCCTGTTTTCAATTTCTAATAGGTTATGCAATTAATACATGTAAAAAAAAAAAAAAAAAAAAAGGTGGTAAAATAAAATTAAAAAAAAAAAAAAAAAAGGGTTTAGCTACTTTTATCTGCTGGAACCTATACAATTATAAGAAAAAAAAACAACTAAACAGGACAAGAATGATTAGATTCATCTAAATCACCAAATAAAGAATCTTCCTTGATTTCAGCTATGGTTGGTTTCTGTTCGCCGGTCAGCAGTTTGGCTCTTCGTACCTCATCATCCCAATCAGTTCTAGTCAAAACCATCAACATGGTCACAACACATGAGCCCTGTGCAACCAATAGACCTAACCATAGCCCCTGAAAATCAAACCCTGCATAAAATGCTAACCACACTGCAACTGGAGTTCCAACCAGGTAAAAACAACCCAAGTTTATGTTTGCTCCAACTTTAGGCCGAGCCGTTCCTCTTAAAACTCCGCAACCTGTTGTTTGTGGGCAGTTTCCGAGTTCACAAAGCCCAATTATGGGCAAAACAAGTGATGTTAATGCGATGATTTCTTTGTCTTGAGTGAACATACTAGCCCATATGTTTCGAACCGTTACGGCAAAAACCAGAGCCGAAAAGCCGAGCATGAAGCTGCCACAAAGGCCTACAATTGTGGCTAATCTTGCTTTGACGGGCTGGCTTGCTCCTAGTTCATTACCAACTCTTGTTGATACACTGAAGCTTAGAGATGATGGGAAGATGTAGATTAGTGATGTGGTTTGTATCAAAATGCCCATTGAAGCAACTGTTGCTCTCGGATTTAACAGAAGACCACATAGTAAAATCATGATCTCATACCACCACCATTCAAGGCACACTGAAACGCAGCTGGGAATGGCTAAATTCAAGAGAGATTTCCATTCTTTGAAGCAGTCCATGGAAAATCCTCCCCATGTTTTCTTATGGACACCTGAGATAAGAATATAGATGATTAAAGAGGCTACAAGATTGAAGTTAGTCCATATCCCACTAAGAGCAACGCCTTCGATGCCTAAATTAAGGTGAACAACGAGAAGGTAATTTATGGGGATGTGTAAAAGAATTGCTAGCGTGGCACAAAACGTTAGAGGCAAAGTTATTGATTGAGTTCTAAGATAGGTTCTTAAAGGATGTAAAAGAGACTGAGCTAAGAGGTCAGGGATAGAATAAAGAAGATATGTTTGTGCTTCTGTGGCTATATCGACATCTTGACCACAAAAGAGTAGAATACGTTTCATGTTTAGCCACAGAAGAGATATGGGAAGTGAAGTTAATATGAGCAAAAGTACAGTTCTTTGCAAGGTGAGGCCAAGAAGGGTGTGTTTTTTGGCACCAAAAGCTTGACCACAAATGGGTTCCATTCCCATAGCGAGACCAGAAAGAATAGAGTAACCAGTGATATTAGCAAAGCCAACAGCAAGTGAACCACCAGCTAAGCCAAGTTCACCGAGGCGACCAAGAAAAAGCATGGAGATCATTGAACGAGAGTAAAGCAAAAGGCCAGTTAGTATCATGGGTAAAGCTATTTTAGCAATGGAAATGGCTTCTTGAATAGCAAGAGAAAGATGGGTCTTCTGTGGTTTTTTCTGTGTTTGATCATCATTTGGCTGAAGCTTCGAATTTTGTGAGCTTTTGTCGATCAATGAGGCATGCATGTCGCCCTCAACGGAGTCGCCACTGGAGTGACGGTAAGGTTGATGATTTGAGGCACATTTGGGAGAGAGAGGAGAAGTTGGAAGCTGGCACATTCTTTGTAGTTATGAGCGTAAAAATGTGGGTTAAGTTTTTTCTTTTTATTTGAGTTGAGAGAAAAGAGAGAGATAGAGAATTGAGGGGGAGTTTGAAGGAGCTAGTGGAGGGGTTTTATAGAGGTTTTTCAAGACGGCCTTTGGTTGAAAACTCTGGTTCACTCTATTTTTTTTGGAACTACTTTATTGTCGTCTTCTACCGGCCACAAAGCAACAAAGAATGAAAATGAAAAATCCACTTTTTTCACTAAGATTTGAGATTGAACAGCTACTATTTCTTTTTTTTTCCTCTTATTTTTTCTCCTCTTCCAAACAAGTCTTTAACTTAATCTTTGTTTTCAACTTAAAACAAAATTTTCACATAGACGTAGATCAACTATTGCATTATAATAAAACGAGTCAAAATGGGTTTAAAAACGTTTAGAATTACGACCTCAGAAACAATTAGCCGAAACGACAAAAACTGTATTTGGACTTAGTTACTGTGAACCAAAAGGCCCATAATTAGGACCCATGAAAGCTGTATTGGCACTTGGAATTTTAGATATATATAATTAGGTAGAGATCAAAATACAGCCATTGCCACCCTCAAATTGTCCGCTCTGTGGCTAGACAACTAAGCGATTGCAACACTTAGGAATTTTTTTTAACATTAGTACACTCTTATATATCAACTATGATCGCTCCAAAGAACCTGTCTTAGGTTGTAGCACCTTCTTTTTCATCGGCGGACAACCAGAAGAACCCCCCTTAAAATTTCATAGCCATTTTGGTTTTATCATCTTGATTATCTTTTAATGGTGGATTAATTCAAACGGGGACAATTTTAAGGTCTTAAAGTGAAACTGGGGTTAGTGCTAAAGTAGGTAGTAGTTTTTTGTTGGCGAGGGGAAGGACAAAAATTGAGGTTTAGAGGACATATATGAATGATGGTAATACGGACAGTGTTAAGGAATTTAAAATCGAAGTCCTCTAGTTTTACAATTGCATGCACAAATGGATGGCGATGGTGCTTCCACGCAACTTTAACTGGGTTCGTCTTTCAATTGCATGCCTTTGTCTTATGACAAGGGCATCCCCCTTGAGCCCACAGTTTTGCGATCCTTCATTTTGACCAATTCAAATCAACACTCTCATTATAATTACGTGTAGAAAATTGAAACGTATACCAACACTCACAACAGGGTGTTTAGTTTAACTGAGATACACACATGGAATTTTTTTTTTTCTTTTTTACAAAAGCCCTTTATTATTTTTTGAAATACCATTGTAAAAATTACTTTTATTTGTAAACTTTTTGTATAAAAAACACGATCTAAGGGGAACAAAAGTTTGCATGTTTCTGGCACTATCTTTCTAATATATTTGCTTGACCCTAAAATATGAGTTCCCATTTAAGCTTTTTGGAATAATATTTGCTTTCAAAACAAGTTTGAAGAGATGCCAAATAGCACTAGTCCCACCATATTTGTAGTTATAGGGCTTTGTTTGGATGCTTAGTATAATCTAACTTTCGGTGATTCTTTGGATAAATGGGTGGGAAAACACAAAATGCTCTTAATTGATAACATTTATGATCAAGAAAAAGAAGTAACGCATCATTCACGAAGTTGGGGATAACCAACAAAAACAAAAATAGCGGCGTCAATGCCCATATGCCATAGACTCGCTTATCTAAAGTGATTTCTCATTTTCATTTTTCGTTGAGGGAATCATGAATGTAATGAAAACAATTATATGCTTTCACCTTATAATTAAATTAATGATAAGTTTATATTAATAAATAATAAGCTTTGTTTGAAAACAATAGGAAAGAATGATGATGATGGAATCAATTACCTGCCGACTGAATCTGAAGCATGAACTGAATTTTTGACGTCATGTTTGAAACTATCATATCAATGGCACCGACAGTTATAAATCAACCCACTTTATATTCATCAAGAGTGGAATGGAATGTATTATCAGTCAAAATATTGTAGCAAAACCAATGTAAGTAACGCTTTTTACCAGTTATTGTGTTGAAAATGGAGAGACTTTAGTGTATTTGTGAATAATTGAAGAACAATCTGAGTCAAGGGGGAAGAAAAAAGTGTTATAAGCATGGCAATACTTTGCGACTGTTGCGTCAATGAATCCAATGGAAAATTAATGGTTTGGGTTGATGGAATAGGCTCCTCCTCATAGTCATAGTGATGTCTATTACCGTAGCTTGCGGGATAATTAAAGATGATAGCAACATGATACCTAAAAAAAGAGAGTTCAAATTGCCCTCAAACTTTAAGGTCTAAAGACAAAAGTTACGTTTATATTACATGGTTTTTCATAATCTAATTAATTTATTTCATTCAAATTGATTAGTTGAATACCATACAATGTGTTTACATTATGGTGGATAGCTCCATCCAATTTAATTCATTCAAATTCAAATTGATTAATCTAGTTTTAAAGGAACATTTGACTCATTCCATGAATTAAATAGAAAATTGAAACAGTGTTTATAACTTTGGACGAAACTTTATTTGTTTTACTGAGTAAATGACTTTTTCCCACCCAAAGAATAGTTTAAAGATATTTTCTCACCTATGGACTTTTAAAATACTATTTTACTATTCAAATTTATACTATGTTTTGATATCGTTACAACCTTACACCATCACCATTCTCTTTTCTGATCATCACTCATCAAAACTCTTCAAACCATACTTTCGTCAACCTCGCTAATTGTCGGTAGTCGATCAATTAAGGTTTACACAACCGCCCATTCCAAGCCAAATTTTGAAATAATATAAGAATGAAGTGGTATCTGTAGAAGAAGATTAATACAACAAAAAGCCAAGAATGTGATGATCTCAATCCATATCGCCGAAAGCTACCAAAAAGGAAGAAACGATGTCTTGTTTTAACCGCTTTTAACCATAAGTTGATCTCCTTGTCCGAAATGGAAGAAAAAGCCATCGAAAAAGTTGATAAACAGACGATAAGCTTAATGAAGAATCATCAGTCATATCATAATCTCTTCTTCATATATTCCTTTGTAGAAAGAAAAAGATCCAGATCATCCCATTATTCTAAGATAAGTCTTTTTGCAGTCAAAAAAATAAAAAGATTTGGATTAATCTTTAACTATACACTTATTAATCCATGTTAGGTCAAACGATGCGGGATATTATCGAGATAAAATTCTCTTAAAGTTTCAGCTTAATTATAAAATAAACCCTCTAATCTAAACACACAGACAATTAAAACTTTGTTTCGTTTGAACAAACCAATATTTTCTAAGAGAAAGCATCTTTGTTTTCTTCATTAAAGCCATTCTTGGGCGTCGTTTGTTGTTTAATTTTCTTCTTCGATTAAAGCATTTCTCATTTGTTTGTTCGATTTCAATAAAACACATTGGACACTAGTGTGAGTCGGAAGATGTTGGTTGGAATTTCACACGTGCCATTCTATGCACCACGCTGTAACGTGTCCGCCTATGCATGCACCACGCTTCCATTGCACACGTGCAACGCGCTACAAATGGTTTACCCTGCCGCTCTCACGTTTTCGGAGCACAAGATTTTATTTATTTATATAACAGTTCAAAAAGATTTATTTTATTTTACTCAGATAAATTTATACTCCTAAACTTTATGTATATTTATTTTCATTGGACCCTAGAGGTTTCAAAATACACACTCATCTCCCCAGTTGTTCCTTTTGGGATCATTGGATGTTAAAAATTAAAATAGATGGTTTGATTGACTTTTCCTACAATAATAACCAAATTACTTACTATAACGCAAAAAATAAAAAAATAAAATTGAACATAAAAAAAATAAAACAACCTAATATTAAGAAAATTTTAAAATAAAACAAGAATTTTCAAAAAAGAAAAAAAAAAGGCCAAAACTTCACCAAGTTTGATTATATAATTTTCCTTTTGTGAATTTCAGGTTTTTATTTTAAAATTTTGGTTCTTCTAAAAATTTATTATGAATTTAAGGGGTTAAGTGTCTCAACACTTTTCAAAAACTATTAAATGATAGAGAAGTTTTTAATACTTTTACAAAGGGGTTTTTAATAATCACACAGATACGATATTGGGTATTCGATAATTTTATGGTATATTTAATGGTTTTTGGAAAATCATTATGGAATCAAACCATTGTATTTAACTTTACTCAAGAAAAACCTAGTGGAAAAAAACCTAAGTAAAAAAATATAACTCTATAATTAAACTGTAATATGAAGTTGGACGTGCTTCATACTGCCTCATTAAAAACCATGTCAGGAAAACTCAGTGGGAAAAAACCTGATCAAAGAAAAAAGAGTATAGTGCACATATATTGTTCAGTACAATATACTTGTCTAAAAAACTCCCCCAATCGATGCTCATCTTGATCAATGCTCCCCCTCATAATGGTAGAATTAATTTAGTAACTTATTGAGCCGTCGCATACCAATGTTATACACTAAATTGTCAAATGTTGATATCGATAAGGCCTTAGTGAATAAATTTGCAAGACTATCATTGAAGCGAATTTGTCTGACATCAATCTCACGATTTTGCTAGAGTTCATGAGTGTAAAAGAACTTCGGTGAAATATACTTGGTTTTGTCTCCTTTGGTATATCCTCTCTTGACTTGAGCAATACATGATGTATTGTCTTCATTTATAATTGTGGGAGCATCTAAGGTACGTGGAAATTTGCATATACTTTCAATATGATGGATGACAGATCTTAACCAGACGCATTCTCGATTAGCTTCATGAAGCACAAGAATCTCGGAGTGATTGGACGAAGTGGCAACCAATGTTTGTTTTGTGGAGCGTCATGATATTACAATACCATTGTAAGTAAAAACATATCCCGTCTACGAGTAGGCTTTGTGAGAATCAGAAAGGTACCCAGCATGTGTATAGCCAACTAATTTAGAATCATTAACTGATTTCCTTGGATAAAACAATCCCAAGTATTTTGTTCCACTGAGGTAACGAAAGACATGTTTGATCTCATTCCAATGTCAGCAAAGTCGTGTAGGGCTAAATCTTGCCAATAGATTCACTGCAAATGCTATGTCTAGTCTCATACATTGTGCCAAATATAATAATGCACTTATTGCATTTAGATATGGTTTTGTCGTCT